GCGTGTCACGGCACCAAATACGAATAATTGAATAGCCCTTGTGTGATACACATCTTCCAACAAGAGCATTTCACCCCTCCATGGAAGATGTGTTCATTTAATATCACATACCTACAAGTCCCTCCCAAGAAGCTCATTGCTAGTAATCCCTTCCTTAAATCTCTTGTTAGAGCAACTGCTCAAGAAGAAATTTCTCACCTAGCTGGTAGTAACAAGTTATCACAAGTTATATACACTGATGGATCTAAACAGGAGTCTTCTGGCAGGGCTGCATCTGCTCTTGTTGCCACCTCCCTAGTTAAGAACGATAATAAATTTGTTGAGTTAGGCATAAGAATTAACAACTGGGCGTCTACACTGCAAATGAATTGTTTGCAATCCTAATGGCGCTAAAGCTAACCTATGACACTGAGCTTGACTCTATCATCATTACTGATTCTATGTCATCATTGAAGGCTCTTGGCTCATATAATGACTCCAACAACATGCTCATTGGGGAAGCCAGGTATAGATACTCAAAAATTGGGGACAAAGGAATTAATGTACAATTGCTATGGATCCCATCACACATTGGATTACTCCTTCATGATAAAGTTGATATGTTAGCCAAGAAGAGTATCGAGAAGGAGAATGTAGAATAAAAAACTTTGGTATAACTGTGTCTAGCATTAGGAATAATATTAGGAGAGAAGTAAATAATGAAAATGGTTGTTATAGGAATGCAGTTAGAAGCCTGAGTAGATCTATAACCCACTATGATAACATGAACGTAGATAAGTATGTTTAAGGAGCAACTTGCAATGTGAACAGACTGACTGATGTTGTAGTGGCCAGGCTTAGGCTTGGTTACAAGTACTTCTGGCAGTTTGGGAGACACACAGATGATGATCAAACTAAATGTAAATTATGTGATCAGGCATATGGTCACTCTCTTGAACACTATGTGCTTAATTGTCCACTTATTGAGGAATACAGAGACAGACAGTATAATAACCTATGTGACATGTCAAGATATCTTTTTAATGAAAATAAGATACCAGATATACTAAGCAAATTTCCTAAATTTGCTTGTAACAGATAAGTGAACTATAGATATGTAGATATAAATCCATATGTATTCCTGTTAACCCTTTGGGGGCCTAGTTCCTAGGCCTTTTGTGTATCCATATGCTCTCGCGCTACCGTCCACAGGATGGATATGGGGTGCACAATAAACTAGCCACTTCGGTGGCAAAATCTAAAAAATCTAATCCTTGTGTGATGTATTCTATCCAAAATAAACGTATTATTTCTGTTAATATCTCTCAAAATAACCATTTGCACATGAAATAATTATATATCCCGAGGTGCAGATAGCTTGTATGTATCGTAAAATATAAAACAATGTCTGAGCTCTGCCAAGGAGCAACTTTCAATAATAGCCAGAAAAAATAATACTATTTTATAATTATTACATCGATAAGTAAGATAAGATTCCTTGTATGAGGATTGTAAGTTTATCTGCATGTACAATTACCAGACGTGATGATGGCAAGAGAGAAGAGATGCATGGTACAAACATGTGGTACACTGGATGTCGCACTGACCTGCTAGTTGTACAACTGGCTTGCCGTGGGTTTAACCCCCGACTCCATTCAGTAAGATATTTAACACACTGACAGGGCAACATATTTTAAACATCTCTCTATTTCACAAGATGAAAACAATGACATTCTAGTCATGATCAACTTCTAATTTTATAAGAGACCCACATACTAATTTTAAAATTACTGAGGAGCTTCGTGTGCTACCTATTAGCAAAGACACTACACTGCAGAAAATGCATTCATAATAGTGAGTGAATCACTGAGCAAGAGTAACCTGAGATGAGACAAAATGAGAAGTGTAATAAAGCCTCTTTGTAATATAAATATTAAATGTACAGATATGAGGCATGCCTCTTCAGTTAAGATCAGGACCTACTGACATCGAATCCTTTTGTAGCGTGGGAGTGGTGTTGTATACACGACACAACACTCCTTGTTGTGAGATCACCCACATTAATCAGTTTTGGATACGGGAAGGTCACTGACCTCTTTTACACCATGTGTTCTGGTCCGAGTAAGGTGGCGTAAGGCGGAGGCGGAGGTCAGATCAGAGCTGATAAGACCTTGACAGAGGCAAGACCCAGGAGGGTCTTCGGTGGTGGGAGTAACAACTCTTGGTGTGAAGTAAACAAGTAATGATTTTAGCATGATATAATGTTTGTACAGAGATAGGTGACAGTTGTGTATACAGACAGCCCTTAGTCATGCAGAGCATTTCGGGCTCTCACAGACTTGTGGATGGAGTGTTTCACCAGTGTGACAGACTGGCAATGGAGGTCCAAAATGGAGTCTATGCGACTTTACATTTTAAACTGTAAGTGGTATCATTCGCCCAGTATTTTAATTTTTCCTATCGTCCTCAAACAACTTATAAATATATTTTCCCTGTCACATAATATTATTCTCTGAGTGTTAAGATATTGTTTAAGTAATTATATAACAACTCATTTAACTATTAATAAATTAAGTACATTCCTTTCATTTGGACATTAGAGTTATCCCTAAGAAACATTCCAATCATTGCCGTTCCACTACACTTGATATGACAATTTAAAATAGCTAGCATCATAACCATAATTTTTAAAGGGGTGGACCGGTAAGCCAATGAAATGCCTCGGATCAGAAGCTCCTGTGGCGGGTCATCATATGATTAAGACCCGCGTTAGGAAACACTTGTCCTGTATCCTGACAAATCTTACCTCACTACACCTCATGTATCACCGGGTTATCAAACAAATAGTAAATATGGTCTCTTATACTCTTTTGTAGAAAGTGGTAACTCAGTGGCATGTCAAGTGGAGAGGGAGTTACTTTTTTCCTCCCCTGGGTAAGTAAGTAGTTAACTGATTGATCAGGGCAAGAATCTGATTAAGTGGTGGAAAACTATAAGTGGCTACTTAAATGATATATTACTAATTAGATCTGCCAGGAGTAATTAAGAAGCCTAACGTTTACCCCTGATATGGACAGTGTGTGACAAAGCGACGGTTGTCACCAACCTGGATATGACAGTGTGGACAAGCGGTCGGTGTCACACTGGATTGACAGTGTTGTGACAAGCGACGGTGTCACCAACATGGATGACTGTGTGACAAGCGACGGTTGTCACCTACATGGTTATGACAGTGTGACATGCACTCGGTGCACCCAAATGGTATGACAGGATGAGAGTTAAGACACAAGTGCAACATCTGGGTTTCTTTATGTAGACGTTTCGCCATATAGTGGCTTTATCAATACAAATTCTAGGACTTTAACTTGTAGACAGTAGAACTATGTACAGAAGATGAGGTTAAATTCAGTCCCTTAAACCTAGGAGTAGGTGGAACAGCACCTACTCCTAGGTTGAGGGACTGATTACCTCATCTTCTGTACATAGTTCTACTGTCTTCAAGTTATGTCCTAGAATTTGTATTGATAAAGCCACTAGATGGCGAAACGTCTACAATAAAGATACCCAGATGTTGCACTTGTGTCTTACTCTCATCTTGTCGGTATTATATACCATTCGTACACATGGTATGACAGTGTGACAAGCGACGGTGTCACCAACATGGTATGACAGTGTGACAAGCGACGGTGTCACCAACATGGTATGACAGTGTGACAAGCGACGGTGCCACCAACATGGTATGACAGTGTGACAAGCGACGGTGTCACACACATGGTATGACAGTGTGGACAAGGCGCGGTGCCACCAACCATATGACAGTGTGACAAGCGACGGTTGCCACAACTTGGTATGACCGGTGTGACATAGCGACGGTGTCACCAACATGGTATGACAGTGTGACAAGCGACGGTGTCACCAACATGGTATGACAGTGTGACAAGCGACGGTGTCACCAACATGGTATGACAGTGTGACAAGCGATGGTGCCATCATGGTATGACAGTGTGACAAGCGGAAGGTTGCCACCAACATGTATGACATGTGTGACAATCGACGGTGCCACCACATTGTATGACAGTGTGAAAGGCGACGGTTTCCACCAACATGGTTTATGACAGTGTGACTAGGGACGGTGCCTCCAACATGGTTTAGACAGTTGACAAGCGACGGTTGCACCAACATGGGTTATGAGAGTGTGAAAAGCGACGGTGGCAAACCAACATGGTATGGACAGTATGTTGCCAAAGCGAAGTGTCACCAACACGGTTTGACAGTGTGGAAAGCGATGTGCCACAAATGGGTTTGTCAGTTGTGACAAAGCGACGGTGCCACCAACATGGTATGACAGTGTGACAAGCGACGGTGTCACCAACATGGTATGACAGTGTGACAAGCGACGGTGCCACCAACATGGTATGTCAGTGTGACAAGCGACGGTGCCACCAACATGGTATGACAGTGTGACAAGCGACAGTGCCACCCAACTGGTATGACAGTGTTGTGAAAGCGACGGTGTACACCAACATGGTATGACAGTGTGACAAGCGACGGTGTCACCAACATGGTATTATAGTGTGACAAGCGACGGTATCACCAACCTGGTATGACAGTGTGACAAGCGACGGTGTCACAACATGGTATGGACAGTGTGCAAGCGGACGGTGACACCAACATGGTATGACAGTGACAAGCGACGGTGTCACCAACATGGTATGACAGTGTGACAAGCGACGGTGCCACCAACATGATATGACAGTGTGACATGCGGAACGGTGTCACCACATGGTATTATGAATGTGTGACAAGCGGACGGTGTTTCACCAAACATGGATTGACAGTTTGTGACAAGCGAGGTAGCCACCAACATTATAAGGGACAGTTGTGCACAAGCGACGGTGCACCAAACATGAGGTAAGACAGTGTGACAAGAGACGGTGCCACCAACATGGTATGCAGTGTGAAAGCGACCGTGCACAACTACATGGTTTATGGACAGTGTGACAAGCACGGTTGCCACCCACATGGTATGACAGTGTGACAAGCGACGGAGCCACCAACATGGTATGACAGTGTGACAAGCAACGGTGCCACCAACATGGTATGACAGTGTGACAAGCGACGGTGCCACCAACATGATATGACAGTGTGACAAGCGACGGTGTCACCAACATGGTATGACAGTGTGACAAGCGACGGTGTCACCAACTGGTATATGACAGTTTGTGGCAAGCGATAGGTGTATCCACATGGTATGCAGTGTGACAAGCGAACGTTTTTGCCACCAACATGGTATGCAGATTGTGACAAGGCGACAGTGTCACCAACATGGTATGACAGTGTGACAAGCGACGGTGTCACCAACATGGTATGACAGTGTGACAAGCGAGTGTCACCAACATGCTACGACAGAGTGACAAGCGATGGTGCCACCAACATGGTATGACAGTGTGACAAGCGACGGTGTCACCAACATGGTATGACAGTGTGACAAGCGATGGTGCCACAAACATGGTATGACAGTGTGACAAGCGACGGTGTCACCAACATGGTATGACAGTGTGACAAACGACAGTGCCACCAACATGGTATGACAGTGTGGCAAGCGACGGTGTCACCAACACAGGTTATGACAGTGTTGTGACATGCGATGGTGCCATCAACATGGTATGACAGTGTGACAAGCGACGGTGCCACCAACATGGTATGACAGTGTGACAAGCGACGGTGTCACCAACATGGTATGACAGTGTGACAAGCGACGGTGCCACCAACATGGTATGGTCAGTGTGTCAAGAGACGGTGCCACCAAATGGTATGTCAGTGTGACAAGCGGACGGTGCCACCAACATGGTAAGGACAGTGTGACAAGCGTCGGTAGCCACCAAACATGGTATGACAGTGTGACATAAGCGACAGTCCCACCAAACATGGTTACGACAGTGTGGACAATCGACGGTGCCACCATCATTGTATGCAGTGTGACAAAGCTCGAACGGTGCCACCAACATGGTATGACAGTGTGACAAGCGACGGTGTTGGTCACCAATATTGATATTGACAGTGTGACAAGCGACGGTGACACCAACATGGTAGAAAGTTGTGTGACAAGCGACGGTGCCACCAACATTGTAAGACAGTGTGGACAAGTGAACGGTTGCCCCAACTTGGTATGTCTGTGTGACAAGCGAAGGTGCCACCAACATGGTTATGACAGTGTGACATGCGACAGTGCCACAAACTGGTACGACAGTGTGTCAAGGACGGTGCCACCAACATGGTATCGACAGTGTGACAAGCGCTGGTGCACCAAAATGGTTATGAGTGTGACAAGGGATGGTGGGCAACCAACATGGTATGACAGGTGTGACATGCGACGGGTGCCACAACATGTTAAGACAGCGTGACCCCAAGCGACGGTGGCACCAACATGGTTTGCAGTGTGACAAGCGGACAGTGCCACCATACATGTACGCAGGGTACAAGCGACGGTGCCACAACATGGTGACAGTTGTGAACAAGCGACGGTGTGAAACAACATGGTATGACAGTGTGGCAAGGTCGGTTGTCACCATCACGGTTATGACAGTTGTGACAAGCGATGGTGCCATCAACATGGTATGACAGTGGTTGTGACAGCGAATGTCGGTGCCACCAACATGGTATGACAGTGTGACAAGCGACGGTGTCCACCACATGGGTTGACAGTGTGGGGAACAAGCGACGGTGCCACCAACATGTATGTCAGTGTGACAAGCGACTGTGTACCACCAACATGGTTATTGGTATGGTCAGTGTGACAAGCGACGGTGCCACCAACATGGTAAGACAGTGTGACAAGCGACGGTGCCACCAACATGGTATGACAGTGTGACAAGCGACAGTGCCACAAACATGGTACGGTCAGTGTGACAAGCCGACGGTGCACCAACATGGTATGACAGTGTGACAGCGATCGGTGCCACCATCATGGTATGACGTTGTGACAAGCGACGGTGCCACCACATGGTTATGACAGTGTGACAAGCGACGGATGCCACCAAATGGTATGACAGTGTGGACAAGCGACGGTGTCTCCACACTTGTTATGACAGTGTGACAAGCGACGGTGCCACCAACATGGTATGTCAGTGTGACAAGCGACGGTGCCACCAACATGGTATGACAGTGTGACAAGCGACGGTGCCACCATTGCCACCAACCATGGTTTAGACAGTGTGACAAGTGACGGTTGCCACCAACATGGTTATGTCAGTGTGTGATCAAGCGAAGGTGCCACCAACATGTATGACAGTGTGAAAGCGACAGTGCCACCAAATGGTACGTCAGTGTGGACCAAGCGACAGGGGTGCCAACAACCATGGTATGACAGTGTTACCAATGCGACGGTTGCCACCAAACCTTGGTATGACAGTGTGACAAGGGATGGTGCCATCATACATGGTATTACGTGTGACAAGCGGTCGGTGCCACCACAACATGGTATGACAGTGGTGACGAGCGACGTTGTCACCAACATAGTATTACAGTGTGACAAGCGACGGTATCAACCAAACCTTGTTATGACAGTGTGGACAAGCGGACGGTGTCACAACATGGTATGACAGTGTGTACAAGCGTCGGTTGCCTACCAAACTTGGTTTGACAGTGAAAAGCGACGGTGGTCTCCAACTTGGTAAGACAGTGTGACAAGCGAAAGGTTGCCACCAACATGATATGACAGTGTGACAAGCGACTGTGTCACAACATGGGTATTGGAAAGTGTGTGGACAAGCGACGCGTTGTCACCACAATGGTATGACAGTGTGACAAGCAACGGTGCCACCAATTGATATGACTGTGATGACAAGCGATGGTGCCACCAACATGGTATGACAGTGTGGACAAGCGACGGTGCACCAAAACATGGTATTATGCCAGTGTGACAAGACGGTGCCACCAACATGGTATGGACAGTTGTGAATGCACGGTTGTCACCAACTGGTATGACTGTGTGACAAGCGACGGTTTTCACCAACATAGGTATAATGCCAGGTGTGGCAGCGATTGGTGAACCAACATGGTATGGACAGTGTGACAAGCGACGGTTTGCCACCAACATGGTATGGACAGTTGTGAACCAAGCGAAAGTGTCACCAACATGGTATGAACAGTTGTGACAAAGCGAGTGTCACCACATGCTATGACAGTGTGACAAGCGATGGTGCCAACATCATGGTATGACAGTCGTGTTGACAAGCGGAACGGTGTCACCATACTTGGTATGACTGTTTGTGACAAGCGGAACGGTTGCCCACAAACATGGTATGACAGTTCGACAAACGACAGTGCAACCAACATGGTTATGACTGTCTGTGGCAAGCGACAGTGTGTCACACACGGTATGACAGTGTGACAGCTATGGTGCATCACATGGTTATGACAGTGTGAAACAATGCGACGGTGCCACCAACATGGTTTATGACTGTGTGACAGCGACGGATTGTTGTCAACCTCTTCATTGGTATGACTGTGTACAAAGCGACGGTTAGCCACAACAATCAGGTATGTCAGTGTGACAAGCGACCGTTGCACCAACTTGGTATGTCAGTGTGACAAGCGACGGTGCAAACAAACATGGTTAAGTCAGTGTGACTGCGACGCGGTGCCACCAAACATGGTATTGACAGTGTGACAAGCGACAGGCCCACCAAAACATGGTATGACAGTGTGTGGAAAAGCGACGGTCCCACCAACTTGTCTTTGGACAGTGTGACAAGCGACGGTGCCACCAACATGGTATGACAGTGTGACAAGCGACGGTGTCACCAACATGGTATGACAGTGTGACAAGCGACGGTGCCACCAACATGGTTGTCAGAGTGTGACAAGCGAAGGTGCCACCAACATGGTTGACAGGTGTGACAGCGACGGTAGACACCAACAGGGTATGAACAGGTGACAAGTGACGGTGCCACAACATGGTATGTTCAGTGTGACAAGCGAGGGCCACCAACATGGTATGACAGTGTTGTGACAAGCGACAGTGCCACTAACATGGTACGATAGTGTAGACTGCGACGGTGCACCAACATGGTAGGACAGTGTGACAAGCGATGGTTGCCACCAACATGGGTATGAGTGTGGACAAGGGGATAGTGCACCAACATGGTTTATGGACGTGTGACAGCGACGTGTGCCACAAACATGGTAAGACAGTGTGACAAGCGACGGTGCCACCAACATGGTATGACAGTGTGACAAGCGACAGTGCCACCAACATGGTACGACAGTGTGACAAGCGACGGTGCCACCAACATGGTATGACAGTGTGACAAGCGACGGTGAAACCAACATGGTATGACAGTGTGGCAAGCGACGGTGTCACCAACACGGTATGACAGTGTGACAAGCGATGGTGCCATCAACATGGTATGACAGTGTGACAAGCGACGGTGCCACCAACATGGTATGACAGTGTGACAAGCGATGGTGTCACCAACATGGTATGACAGTGTGACAAGCGACGGTGCCACCAACATGGTATGTCAGTGTGACAAGCGACGGTGCCACCAACATGGTATGTCAGTGTGACAAGCGACGGTGCCACCAACATGGTAAGACAGTGTGACAAGCGACGGTGCCACCAACATGGTATGACAGTGTGACAAGCGACAGTGCCACCAACATGGTACGACAGTGTGACAGCGCTACGTGCCACCAACATGGTATGACAGTGTGACAAGCGACGGTGCCACCAACATGGTATGACAGTGTGACAAGCGACGGTGCCACCAACATGGTATGACAGTGTGACAAGCGACGGTGCCACCAACATGGTTATGACAGTGTGACAAGAGTCGGTGTCTCCAACATGGATTGACAGTTGCAGTGGACAAGGCGACGGTGCCACCAACTGGTATGTCAGTGTGACAAGCGGACGGTGCCACCAACATGGCTCTATGATCAGTGTGACAAGCGACGGTGCACCAACATGGTAAGACAGTGTGACAAGTGACCGGTGCCACAAACATGGTTATGTCTGTGTGGACAAGCGAAGGTGCCCCCAACTTGGTAGGACAGTTGTGACAAGCCGACCAGTGCACCAAATGGTTCGTCAGTGTGAACAAGCGCGGTCCACCTTACTGGTATGGACAGTGTGACAAGCGACGGTGCACCACGTGGTATGGGGGGGGGAACAGTGTGACAAGGGATGGTGCCTCAACATGGTTAGTGACAGTGTGACAAGCGACGGTGCACATCATGGTTGACAGTGTGACAAGCGACGGTGTCACCAACATGGTATCTACAGTGTGTATGCGACGTTCACCAACCTGTATGACAGTGTGACAAGCGACGGTGTCACCAACATGGTATGACAGTGTGAC